TCCGCGCTCAACGGCCGCGTTCCACCGATGAACAGCGAGGCCGCCCCGCCCCGGCGGCGGAGGGAGCTAACCGGATCTCGCTCTCACCGCCGCTTTTTTCTTTCAGAGGAACGCCGAAGGTTGCGCAGCGGTGACTTCAGCGATTGCTGCTGCTCCGCAGCGTAAAAATACCTGCAGCCTGCGCGGCGGGACGCAGGAACCAACCGGCCGCGTTCAGCCGCGTTCGACAGCGAAGCCGCTTGTTCCCAGTTGGGGCTGGTTTTTGGTGGTGGGTTCTTGGTTGCGATGGGATTTTTTGGGGGGTTGCTTCACAGCTGCAGCAACGGATGCTGCACGTCTTCTAACTCGTCTGTCGTTCTGTCCATTCATTTTAAAATCTGAGTGCTGAAATGGTTTTGTCTTCTGCGTTAGGCAAATATTGCTGTGTCATCCGAAATTCGGGAATAAACTCAGTAACTCCAAGGTGTTTGTGAGTGGCATTCTGTATCTGTGACCTGAGGTGTGCGGGGGATGTCCCCAGGCGATTACAGAAAATGTATGTAGCAGTTAAAACCCTGAAAAACTAAGGCCTCTAACGAGGAAGAGAACAGTGGATAGCAAGGAAGAGCAGAGTGCTATTTTAAATATAATCACTGCTAAGCAAAAATTTGTCTTACATTTCTTCTTTGGTTTTCTGAACTTTGGAACTTTCCCAACTTTCCCATAGCTATTTTTTTAGCTCTGCAAACACTTTCATAGAATCACAGGATAGCCGGAGTTAGGAAGGACCAGTAAGAATCACTGAGTCCAGCTCCTGCCTCCACAACAGACCACCCAAAAATCGGACCATTTGTCTGAGAGCATTGCTTAGATACTTCTTGGACTCCAGCAGGCTCGGTGATACGGCCACTGTCCAGGGGAGCCTGTTCCAGTGCCTAACCACTCTCAGTGAAGAATGTTTTCTTGATATCACAGAAACATAGAATCACAGAATGGTTTGGGGTGAAGAGGACCTTCAAGATCATCTTGTTTCAACCCTTCTGGTATAGGCAGGGACACCTCCCACAAGACCAGGTTGTTCCAAGTCCCATCCAGCCTCTAAATCCAGGCTCTAAATCTACCCTCTTCCAGTTTAAAGCCATTTCCCCTTGTCCAGTCATTACATGCCTTTATAAAAAGTCCCTCCCCAGCTTTCCTGTTGTTCTCCTGCAGATTCTGGAAGGCTGCTGTAACCCCGAGAGCCTTCTCCAGGCTGAAGAGCTCCAACTCTCTCAGCCTGTCCTGGTAGGGGAGGTGCTCAAGCCCTCTGATTATCTTCATGGCCCTCCTCTGGACCTGCTCCAACAGCTGGATGTCCTTCCCAAATCCATCCTGAACTTCCTCTGTCACAGTTTCATGCCATTCCCTTGGGTTCTATCGCTGGTCACTAGAGATCAGCACCTGCCCCTCTGCTCCCTTCATGAGGAAGATGTCAGCCACAACGTGGCCTCTTCTTATTCTTCTCTTCTCTGGGCTGAACAAAACAAAGGAGTTTAACTTCTGCTCACAAAGTTTTCTACTCCATACTATTCAGCATCTTTTAGCCCTCCTTCATGTCCTTTTTGTACCGTGACACCCAAACCTTCACATCAGGCCACACGAGTGCAGTGCAGCGTAAACTAGGACAGTCACTTCCCTTAACCAGCTAGCAGTGCTGTGCTTGATGCACCTCAGGAACTGGTTAGCCTTCTTGGATACTGTTCAATTTGCTTCCAACCAAGACCCCCAAATCCTTTTCTGCAGGGCTGTTCTGCAGCATTGCATCCCTCAGTCTGTATGAATAGCCAGGGCTGCTTCTTACAGGTGCAGAATCTGGCACACGCTCTTGTAAAACTTCATGTGGTTGGTGATTGCCTAGCTCTCTGATTTGTCTAGATATCTCTGCAAGGTCTCTCTAACCTCAATGGAATCAACAGTTCCCCCAGTTTAGTATCATCCACAGACTTGCTGAAAGCATCTTCCAGTCTTACATACAAGTTATGAAAACTTTAAAGAGGACTGGCCCTAAAATCAAGCTCTGGGGAAGCCCACTAGTGACTGGCTGCCAGCCTGATGTAACCCCATTCACTACAACCCTTTGGGCCCGACCCGTCAGCCAGCCGCTCATCCATCACATTATGTTTTTCTCTAGCTGTGTGCTGGGCATTTTGTCCAGAAATACACTGTAGGAAACAGCATTAAAAGCTCTACTGAAATGCAAAATAACATCAGCTGGCTTTCCTTCATCAACCAGATGGGTGATCTTGTCATAAAAGCAAATTAAGTCAGTTAAACAGGTTGACATTCCTGTCATGAACCTATGCTGGCTGTGACCAACAACTTCGCTGTCCTTCAGGTGTTTGTCAGTAACTCTAACATAATTTTCTCCCTTATTTTACCAGGCACTGAGGTGTGACAGACAGGCCTTAGTTATCAGGGTCTTCTTTCTCATCCTAAGATCACTAAAAGATCATCAAGAGGTCCCTCAAAGCTCTCAGAGTATGTTGGGATGAATCCCATCGGGCTCCATGGACTTAATATAAACCCAAGTGGAACAGCAAATCCTGCACAAGGTCATGGTTGACTGGGAGTTCATCATTACTACAGTCACAGTCCTCCATCTCGAGGTCAGAGCCCGTCATCAGTGTTGAAGACAGAGGCACAGAAGGCATTAAATGTCTCTGCTTTGTGTATGTCCTTGTCTGTAAGATGACCGTTCTCATCATGTAAAGAACCAACGTTCTCTCTGGTCTTCCTTTTGTTGTTAATGTATTTAAAGATTAACTTTTTATTGGCTGCCACAGTATTGGCCAGCTTCAACTCTAACTGACCTTTGGCCGCAGTATTTTCTCCCCTCTAAAGACAAACAGCATCCCTGTAGTCCTTTCATGCCACCTGACCTTGCTTCCAGCAGCCATACACTTTTTCCACCTAAGCTCTAGAAGTTGTCTGGCCAAGCCAGCTTCTGCCCTGCCTGTACTGGGGCCAGGCCTATTTCATATCTTTACTGATGATCTGGATGAGAGTTCCTTAAAGAATAACTCATCAGTGTCATCATCCTGACATACTGGCATTTCCACTCCATAAAACCAGCTTTGTACTATTAGCCTAGCACAGCTTTGTATTTGAACTACGAGAGCCATTTCAATTAGTTATACACGACACGTAATAGAAGAACCAAACTAGAACAGGGCATGGGGTGGAAGGATGGTGAATATTTCCTTTATTTTTCAATCTGCTTTGTAATTTAATTGCCCTTTTTCCTTTGCTATACTGGCTTGACACCATATTTTTTTCGTTCTGACACTACCAACCTCACAAATAAGGAGAACTAATTGGACTCTTACCTAGCCACTGCTTAGCTGCTGTTCTACAGAGATGTGGCACAGTTCTCACTAGCTGGTTAGTTGGGTACTGGTTGCTCCTCCACATTTTCAGCTGTTTCTTCATGCCTGCAATCTCTTCACCACAAATAGGACACTGTGGCCTTATTCAAGATATTTGGATCCAAGGAGCCAGAACCATTTCAACTGCCTTAAGCAGAAAATATGACTGTGAGGGGGAAACTTCTGTAAGTATTCGGGCAGGAAGGAAAACTAGCAAGACTGTTATCAGGAGTAAAAAAATAATGCAGAACTAATACAGCTCTACTACCTACTCCTAAGGGAAAGAAGGTAAGCAACTAATAAACAGGTAAGAAGCAGCAATTATTTATTATCTCTGCCTCAAAATGAAAAAGCTACATGGATGCAACTGGTGTCTATATACAAAAGCAGAGCATATCAACACAGAATCATAGAATGGTTTGGGTTGGAAAGGACCTTTAAGATCATCCAGTTTCAAATTCCTGCTGTTGGCAGGGACACGTCCCACAAAATCAAATTGCCCAAAGCCCTATCTCCCAAGCCTGGCATTGAATGCTTGCTTCCAGGGAAGGGGCATACATTGCTAGATTACTCAGACTGATTTTTCTTCCTTTTCTTGTTTCAGGAAGAAAACAAGTAGGAAAATCTGCAAGAGGGGGAATATGAGGATGCATAGAAGAGATGCCATGATTACAAGAAGCAGGCAGCAATGGGAAGGTCTGCTCTGATGCCAGCATCTCTCCACATGGGTTTTCACCCCTTCCTAAATCAGGTAGGAGAAAATAAAGAGGAAAAACAATTATGTTTATGAAGAAAGATACAAAGTGGTAGACGGACAAGAGATAACCTTTCCAGCACTTGAGGTTATTAGCTCAGGAGATAAACTTATGGATGAAAGCAATACTACATGCTTGTTGTATCTGCAAAGCAATAGACTAAGGGAAGCTATTGCCTCACAGTAATTCTTCTAACTGCACAGGCACTGTTATGCGGTGTTACTACAGAGATCTTTGCAGCAAGATGTACCAGGAGCTTTTGATGCTGCAAAGCTGAAAGCTGCGGATGGCCTACATGTTGGCAGGATGCAATTCCTGCTGATGCTTTTGGTCCTCTGCTTAGAAATGCAGGCACAGTGCATTCACACAAGAGCAGGTATTTGTACCGCTCTATTATGAAGCTAATTACAAGAGAAAAAAGAAACTTAAAAACAAACAAAACAGCTTCGGCCTTGTTGTCGGCAGACATTTTTGTTCGTTTATCACTTAAGTCCGTGTAATTCTAAGACCCCTGAAGATCAAACCTTAATTACCAAAGCAAAGGTAGGTTATTAAATGATGCTTTAATCAGCAGTTGCTTAGAGAGCACACAAACACCTGTGAGACTGTAAGTTCCACCGTACTTTTCAAGATCTGGGCCAAGAACCACGTGCAGAACCACCAGCCGTACCTCCAGTGCTCCACCAGTGACTGCACACGGAACGCAGCTCTCCCGGCCTTGCCCCGCAGCGCTCAGCCGGCCGTCCTCCCAGCGCCACTCAGCGCAGCTCTGAGCGCGGACACAGCCGAGCGCAGCCCTACAGCCGCCAGGGAAGGACGGCCGTCCCGCTCTCAGTCGCCGCAGTGACGCCAGCAATTCGGCAGGCAAACAGCAGCCCAGCCGCCTCCATGTTTCCCACGCGACCGGCGCGCCCGTGCCAACTCCTCCCGCGCCGCCGTCCGTCGGCACGGCAGCCTCGCGACGGGCAGCGCACGGTCGCGAATTGGCAGCGCTCCGGCGGGGAGCCGCCCGATATCGCGGCGACCGCCGTCCTCGGGCCGAGCCGCTCCCGCGGCAGCGCCGGCTCGACTCGGCGTCCCGCCAGGCCGGGCGGCTTCCGTCCTTCGCCGCTTCGCGACCCACCTGAACGCAGCGCCGATGGCGGCCGGGGAGGCGCCGGGCGCGGAGCGCCTCTCGCAGCTGGTGAGCTCGGCCTTCGCCCTGCCGCAGGCGGGGCTCGGGGGCTCCGCGGCTCGCCGCTCTTGGAGCTTTCCCCTCAGCCGGGTGGGAGGTGAAGGGTGGCGGGCGCTGTCGGGAGGGTGAGCAGCGGTCTCCCTATCGTCGCATTCTGTTGTTTCCGTAGGCGGAAAATCTGCTGTATCGGCTGCAGGAGAATTTTCAAGCTCTGGCGGAAAGGATAACGCTGAGAAATATCCTTAAAAAAAAAGAAAAAAGTAGATCCAGGTTATCGCTCCTGTGATGGAACCTCTGTAACTGCAGGAGCTGCGGTTCCTCCACACGTTTGGTTTTGCTTTCCCTGCTGTGCGCTGCCAACAGATGCAAAGCGGTTTTTTGCTTACTTAAATCAAGGTGTTTCTTCTTTTTTCTGCTTTTTTTTCTTTTATTCCCTGATCTTCAAATGGAGATGTAATGACTGACGTTCTTAAACACCTATGATGTAAAGTCAGCTGCAGTGGCTCCCAACACTGCTCATCTTTTCCCTTTACTTATAAAGAAAGCCTAAAAAAGGTTTTACCAACAGCACTGTGCATCCCACTGGTTTCTGTACAGCAGTTCTAGGTTTCAAGTAAAGTAAGCAACGCATTTTGTGGAACTGTTCTGAAGGCACATTTAAAAGTGCCTGTCTGTGGGTCAGAAACAACTCTTTGCGGGCCGTGAGCATGGGAAGGGGAGCCTGCAAATGACAGTGAGCTCTAAGCGTCTGTCCTTGCTAGGCGTGGTGAACAGGAGCTCTCTCTGCTTTCTGAATCTGCAGAATTGGCACGTTCTGTGTTTTTTCTGACACGTGCACATCCCCGCTTTCAGGACTTTGCTTCCTCGGAGATAATTAATGCTAAAATTGATGTTTATCAGCAGTTATATTCTGATTGCTTTCTGATTATACATGTTGACCGAGTGCTATCACTAAAATAGTTCATTGAGCAGAGACAGTATTTTACACACAAAATAGTCCAGTGCACTCGTGGGCAGATAGGAAGCTGTTTGTAAATTAGAACTTGAATGCTTCGGTGTTGCAAGAGAAATTAGGATTGCCTTGTTGTCATACAGTCTTGTGCTACAACTGCGAGATTCATACTCTGTTAGTGTTGAACTTAAGTAAAAGGCTGAAGCATCTGAAAGAAAGCTTTGTATTTTTCTCACAGGAGACAAAAACGTACAATGATAACAATTCTTACTTGTAAAAGTTGTCTTTAACTTTTTACTGGAAGAAATGGGTGAGCGCATCAGTGACCTTGAGAAGCACGTTGCTGACCTAATGGCAGAGGCTGGAATAGAGAACACTGATGATGGATTGAGAGTAAAAAAACCTTCAGTTCTCTTGTTTTTTGTTTTTAATGTTGCTGCTTAGTTCAGAATAGTTTCTATTTTTTATCATACCTTGCTTTGCTTTGGTTTTAATATATACTGAGGATTTATTTTAAATATCTAAACTTACCCTGGATCTATTTTTGCCAAGAGCCAAAAAATGCTACCACTTCTTCAGAAGAGCCAGAACTACAGCCTGCTGCTTCTGTTCCAGCTGTCTCACGAATCTAAGGGCTTGTGCAAACTAAATATGTAAACAGGCTGCATATCTGTAAGAAAGTATGTGTGGCTTGAAGTGCTCCTGTCTGCTGCTCGTCTCCCTCGACTGTACTAACAGGATAGGCTGAGGATTCTCTCTGCTCTCAGTTTATGTACATTACTTTTAAAAAACTGCTACAGCCTCCTCTTGTGGCTCAGAACACACCTCATAAACACCTTTGCCCAGACCAGAGCAGTGATTCATCCTTGTGGCACTGAGATGCAGGGTTGAAGTGGCAAGTATTGTTAGGAGATACTAGCAGTGATCATGGGATGCGTGGGTACCCTGCGTGATTGCACATCACTGTGTGTTGAAACGATCCCACAGATGCTGTCGATATTTATTACACATCACGAGGTAGGCGTTTGTGTTTCCTTCTTGCTCTTCTTGCAAGCTTTCCTTGTTTAAAGGACAGAGACTGCTTACTCAGCAAAAGACAGGAATGTTTCTAATTATGCTGAAGTAATTCAGGCGTCTGTTCATTCTGCTCTTTTCCTGAGGATAAGCTGTGTAATTATTTTTTACAAAAATAGAAGGCAATCTGTTGAAAGTGTATTAAAGTGTATAGAGATCTTCCTATTTTACGCTGAATCACGTCCATGCATAGTTTAACCACTACTTTTTCACTGTTTCTTTACAGCACTGAAATAAGCATGTGAGCGAGAAAGATAAGGGGAGAGCAGCTCTGCACTGACTCTGGAGCGTCATCGCTTACAGTCAGCGCCTCTACTCACAAAAACCATCAGTGAAAACAAATACACTTGCATCACGTCGTGATAGAATCTCCGTTTTTCTTTTCCTTTGAATTATTGTCCCAGGAAAGGAGTAGAAAGCTAGGTTTATTCATGTAAATGGGACACTATTTCCTATAATTGGGAATAAACCATTAGTCTCAGGGGAGGAAAAAAAATACGGATAAAAAGCTGTCCGATACAGTAGTGAGCTTACCCAGCCACAAACTTTTTCAATGTAACAAGTGTATTTCATATTACTGACATTAAAATTTCCATCACACTTCTTTGTTGCCTTTTTATGTGTTCTCAGAATACCTGTGGAGATACTTCTGCAGCTGTGTGCCGTTTTGATGCTGTTTACATTTCCTGCATTGGAACGTTCATCCACCCCTGCCGAAAATACACCATAGCTAATTTACTTGATGTTACTATGAAAACGCCTTTGCAAAGCTTTTATGAATAGGTCCACTGAGCATGAACAACTTTAAGCTAAAATAGTGATAGTACTTCCACAGAATACAGTTATTTCTATGGTAGTAGAATCCCAGAGTATCTTGTGTTTACATATCCACCCTTCTAAATATTGCAGCCCCCTCCCGTGCGCAGGTACGCTTCCCCCCATGTCAGGTTGCGCACAGCCCCATCCACCCCCAGCCTTTAGCACTTCCAGGTTGGGGTATCCACAGCTTCTCTGGGCAGCCTGTGCCAGTGCCTCGCTGCCCTGTGAGTAAAGATTGCATTAAAGATTTTCTTCACAATATCTGATCTAAATCTGCCCTCTTTCTTTTAGCTTAAAGCTGTTGCCCATTGTCCTGTGGCCAGAAGCCCTGATAACGAGTCCCTCCCCAGCTTTCTTGTAGGTGCCCTTCATGTAGACCGCTATAAGGTCTGCACAGAGCCTCCTCCAGGTCGGACAAATCCAGCTTTCTCAACCTGACTCCATAGATGTTTCAGCTCTCTGATCATCCTTCAGAATGCATTCCAACACCTCCACGTTTCTTGTGCTGTGGGCTCCAGACCTGAACATGATGCTCCCCATAGGACCTCATTAGGGTGAGCAGAGGGGAACAAACGGCCCCCATCCTGCTGGCCACCCCTTGTCACGCAGCCCAGGATACCATTGGCCTCTTGGGCTGCAAGCACATGCTGAGTTTTTCATTCAGCACCCCCAAGACCTTCCCCATAGGGCTGCTCTCAGTCCAGTGATCACCAAGCCAGTATTCATTTTTGGGATTGCCCTGGCTCAGGTGAAATAAAATGAGTAACATTTGAGAGGTTGATAAATTTATCCTAGCTAAAAGGACATTCCAATGAACTAAAAGCTAACAACCAGTCGTTGTTTTTATACACCAAAAAACCCCAGAATTTTAGGCAGGGAATATTTTGGTGGGAACTCAAGAAATCTCTTTCAACGTACGCAGAAACTGAAGAGCTACCAGCTAAACAGAACACTTCAGCTAATGAAAGATGTGTTTTTAAAACTGGCATTTGTTAATGCTTAGTGTCTACTACAAATTACTTGGTCCATATCAAAATCTAATTCTAGTCAATGCTTTAAGCAGTGTAGGTATGCAAGCACGGTCAAACCAGGAGGAGAAGTTGGCTGCTTTTCAGATAAATTGATTGATAAGAACCTCATGAAGTTCAAAGACAAGAGGGCAGATCTCACCTCGAGGACAATAAGCTTGTGCCACAGCTCAGCTGTGAGGAGTTGGATGACTGGCAAGTAGGTTTGCAGGAAAAGGGGGGAGACTGGACACAAGGGAGAGGCACAGGAGATCCCAGCTGGAACACTTTCCAACTGTGAGGGATGTGCCTCTCCAGAAAGACCGAGGAATCTCAATCCATGTAGGTATTCAACACTGCCCAAAGGCAAGCCAAGCAAGACCTACTTCGACTGGGAGACTAGACCAGAATTTAAGCGGTGCCTTCCACCATAAAGCAAACATTGGGAACATGCAGCGTGCTTTATTCACTCACAGTCATCCTTTGCACCTTCTGAATTCTCTAAAAATTAAAAGCAAAGCGCAATCTACTTCTGCTTTAACTGATCAGACATACGAAGGTAAGGCCTGTACAGCAACTGAGGATAAATACAGACTAACTGTTATGCACTGCACTGAGACACGCTGTTCAGTGATAACCCAAATCAGTTTCTAAAATTATTTCAGAAGCAACCTCTCCCAGACGTTGACACCCACATGTTGAAGTGGTTTATGTCATCACCAACACATGCATGGGTAACACGCAGCAACTCGTTGCATAAATCCAGATCCAGAAATCCAAATTGATCCAGATCACGCTGCAGGTCAGTGCTGGGAAGATAGCAAGTAAAAAAACCTTTGTTCTTACAAACACGCCTTCAAACAACTGGCAATAAAGAACAGGCAAATAAGTAGTTAATGAATTGTATGTGCTCAATTGGTAACAGCTTTTTTAATCAGTTTCATGGAAGTAACTATGAAAATAACTAGACTTCCTACTCGATGTCACATAAAGGAATTGAATTACAAGGCTGCTCTGAAAGTAATGCCTTGTTTTACTACATGATGCCAGAGGTGGATGTTGGTGGTATGGCAGTAGAAGTTGAACTTTCTACCTTTCTGCCAATATTCCATTACGATTTGTTGCTGTGTGACAGAAGGCAGCAGGGCAGTCTGACAACAAGCATCTGATGTGGAAGTGCAGACGAAGCAAAGGTGTGTCACTGAATTCCTCCATGTGGAAAAATAGCACCAACTGACATTCATGGACGTTTGCTGAATGTTTCTGGAGACCAAACAGTGGGTGCAACACAGTGAGGCAGTGGGTGGTGAGTTTTGGCAGTAGTGACAGCAACATGAATGACTGCCACGGTCTGGATGGCCATGCACAGTTGTCACACCACAAAACAAAGCGTGACAATCAGCTCATCCACACAAATTGGCAGATTATAACCAGAGAATTGTGTACAGAACTGAATATTAGCTTCAGTACGCTGGAAACTGTGGTAACAATGCTGGAATACTGCACAGTTTGCACTGGGTCCCACAAATGTTCAACAGGAACAGAAAGAAGGCTGTATGCAAGTTTGTCAGCACGTACTGAACCAATATAAGGCTGAAAGTGACACTTTCCTCGTTTGCATCATTACCTGTGATGAGATGTGGCGCCACATCTGTGAGTTACAGTCAGAACAGCAATCCTTGGGATGGCTACATTGAATTCCCCTTGAAGAAAAGTTTCAAGACACAGTGCTCAGTAAGTAAAGTGATGTGCAGTCTTTCGAGATAGCAAAGTGGTGACCCTTCTGGATTTCCTGGAACATGGACAGACCATCAATTCTGACCACTACATCGTGATGCTAAGCTGAAGGCTCAAATCTCCAGAGTCAGGACAGACAACAGGACAGTTTTCCTCCTGTAACACAGGTTAACTCCAGGCCCCACACCAGTTAGACTCTGGAGCACACTGCCAGTATTGGCTGGACTGTCCTGCCATACCCACCACACAGCCCCAATTTGGTGCCTTCTGACTCCCATTTTGTCCGATGAAGGATGGTCTGCGTGTGCAATATATTCCTAGCAACAGCACCATCAAAGCAGCTTCTATTTTGGATACTCGGCCTTGTGACAAACTGGTCTTAAAAAACAGGTACCTCCTTCTGCACAGTCTGACTTCCTTTCTGTTAGTTCCATAAACACGCATGTATCAGTTAGAAAACAAACAAAAAAACCAAAACAAAACAGCACTGGGGCCACTACTGCAAAGCAGACATCACCAGAAATGCATGTGAAACTTCAAAAGCCATACAAACGCAGCACCAATCCAAGTCTCATGAGCATATTAACTTTTTGCTCCGCCATGTGATAAACTGGAGCTCACACTACAGGGAGAAGTTTCCCCTTCAAGCACCGACTGTGCAGCCAGCTCCATTATTACCTTTTGGAACTACTCTGTCCACTACAAAGTATTTCAAACTGAATAATCACCACGAAAAATAATCTCCACCATCACACCCAATTGGATTTCCTAAAGGTTAGCTGTGAATCACAGATGTTTTAATTTAGTTTCCTTAAATATTAATACATACACCCTCATAAATTCCTATTTCTCACTGTATACAAAGACCAAGATGCTATGCAAGAAAATCCTGAAAAAAAAAAAAAGTTAAAACCCTTTCTCTTCAAGGTTATGATTTCGCATCTGATAACATCTGTTTTCATTCCCAACTTTAAAGAACATCAAGGCAAATAAGTGGAACTTGTTTTATTCTTTAGGAAAAAAAAAAACCTGAAAAAAACTTATATTGCAGTTTTCCCAGCTTTTTGTGTAGCAAAATGTCTCAGTTTCAGCTGGGACAGAATTGTTTTCTTCAGAGTGCCTGGTATGATGGTGGGTTTTGGTGCTAGGAGAAAAACAATGTCAGTAACACAGTGATGCCTACAGCTGCTGCTAAGCAGTGTTGCAGCGTTTGTTTTTTTTCTTAATTCTCTCTGTCCTCCTACTGGGAATGACTGGAAACAACTGGGGGCACTCAGCCACCTGCTGCATTAAAGCACAACACAGAAGTAAGCAGACAGCTGAGATGTTTTTCTACAAACAGGCTTTTTTTGTACAAAAATACATCATACCAAAAGTCCTGAAAGGAAAGTCTGAAAGAACAACACCTGAACAAAGCCCCAACCCTGCTGCAGTCATACAGTTTGAGGCTCTGTGTCCTTTCCTTTTCCAAATGGAATCCAAAGTTTTTCAATAATCAACAACGCGCTCAACACTGAAAGACTGATTATTTCTTTTTTAATATGCATATGTATGTACACACATACAGAAAAATAAATTTAAGTGGAGAAAGGGTTACAAAAGAAAAGCACAGCCCCAAGGAAATGTCAGTATCTGTATTTAGTAGAATAATCTTTTGGTGATACCACTAAACCTCGACCTTTGCGGGCTCCTCTGTAAACAGTTTCTATAATGTCAATCATCTCTTGTTTATCTTCCATTGCCCAGTTGATCTTGTTGTTATTACCTGTACCTAAATCAATCATGATGTGTTTGTTCCTTTAAATGGAGAAGAGAAAACAGACAGGTTAATAGCATAACAATAATTGAAAAAAAGAGATAAAAAAAATCCACCCCCATCCACGCCTCCCCCAGAACCTCAAACCTTCATCAATCCCCCCCTTCAAGAATCAATCTCCCTTTGTAGGTTTCAAAATAAATGTTCAAACAGGAAAAGGTTTGCAAAGAAGCCCCAAAGAAAGTTCCAACCCCCTTGCTGTGGGCAGGGCTGCTTACCCCTAGATCAGATTGCCCCAGACTGCATCCAGCCCAGCCTCGAACACCTCCAGGGATGGTGCACCCACACCTCCTTTGATAAACCAGCCCCTCACTACTCTGAGTAAAGAATTTCCTTCTAACACCTCAGCTAAAACTACTACTTCATTTTGAAATTATTACCCCTTGTCCTGTTGTTACACTCCCTGCCAAGAGTCTACACTTTTCTGGAACAAAGGCTATATAACCACCAGTACGCTGAGATGGAGCTGTAGTCCTACTAAAACACATTCAGTTGATTATATTCTAGAACCACCGTGTACCTGAAGAAAAACATGACTGTGCAGGGATCATACAACTCATACATCTTGTTGAAGTCTGGTACTTCAGTGATATCCACAAGATAAATAACAGCAAAGTTCTTTACCTGAGGAGAAGGAAAAAGAAAATACAAAAGCAATATGTCAGGCACGTGCAACCTGTGGACCACGTGCAGCCACTCAGAATGCAGCCAGGACAGCTCGTAATGAAGCCCACATCCCACCATGGCAGAGGCTCTTGTCAGCCAGGAGGCCTGGCCATATACAAATCACACAGGATCAACCAAACTATGGTGCAGCACTCTCCTTTCACAGCTAATGTCTTAAACCCTGAAAGAAAATAGCTTTGCATTCTTGTTTTCTACCTGGAGCCATTCGTGGCCATTTCTATTTCACATGAAAGATATCTAAGAAACTCAAGAGGATGTTCAAAATGAACAGTTCTACTAAGAACCCACTGGTGGGTTCTGGTTCTGGTTAGCCTCAGGGTGCAAAAGGTGGGTTTCAGACAGTAATCTGAAGTTTCCATTTTAGAAACCAGAATCACAGCTCAGGAATGCTGTAGCTTACCTTCTGAAACTCAGGTATCTCGTGCAAGTCTTAGCCAGTCATTTAAGGAAACTCACTTCAAGGGGCCGTTTCACTCAAATCGCCTTTGCACACACACAGGTTACCACCACAGTATCTCAGACATTAACTGAATCCTTCTCTGCTACGTGTGAATAAAAGAGCTACTCATCTAAAGAAGTGGAACCGACAACAGGGTGGCTGCCCAAAGCCTCGTATGATGTCCAAAGTGGACCTCAGAGCTAGAGAGAGAGGACTGCTCACTCTGAACTCACAACTGGCTCGAGACCAGGACACAGGTACATGCTGGACCCTTAGCATCAGGAAGACCTTAACGTACAGATTCTGTAGATCCTTGGTCACACTTCGGTAAATAGGAATCACAGAAGACCACAATTGGCTGGTAAACAGGAAACACAGAGGAAAAAATCACATACCAGATAGTTCTCATTCCTCCTTCCTGATAGTCTTCGTTAGCAGTATCATTCCTGCTAATTTCTTGCATTCCTACAAATCAGATCACCACAGCAGTATGACCAAAAGCTGGGAGGAACAGTAACAGTGGCACAAAGCTTCTTTTCAGTTCTGGTGGAGGTGAAACTATTTTTGTCCTTACGACTTCAACTCCCTGGAAAAAATAAGTCTTGCAATGGTAGCTGATGGCCCAAACCATTCACAGCAGCTATCAAAGGAAACCTGATGCCAGAACCAAGATTGCATCTTCTAATTTGCCTAGCAAGTTTCTACACAAAGTCAGGTTTTCTTTGTTTTTATGTTTAGATGTGCTATGCATAAGGAAACTGCAGGAAAAAAAGTAAAGGAACTGAAAATAGCTTCTGCAGCAATTCAAGTTCAAGAAGCCCAGCAGAGCTGCATTACAGAAATGAAAGGCTGCAAAAACAATGAAGCAGGAAATTTCAGGTCTGTTGTCATTACCTGACATTTTTTTAAATTCCAATTATTCTGTAAGTTCAGGTGATTTTCTCTTCTCCCATGTAAATTTAACATAACTCTGCTAAATGCAATGGTAATAACTAACAATTTTGCTACTGCTAACAGAATGGCCAAGCATTTACCAAGACAAAGACTAACAGAAGGAAGAAGCCTGCTTCAAGGCCTGAGGTGCCTCTGCAAAACTGCTTCTCAGTTCTACAGACTGAGAAAGAAACAGTCAAGAGGTAAGCCCTCAGAACTGAGTAAGGCAGCCAGACCAGCTCCCTGATGCATAACTACCACAACTAAGGAAAAGCAATGGGTGACAGAGGGGGGTGATTCTCTTCTGAGAGGTAGAGAGCACGAGGAACAAGCAAGGAGCAGTTACAAACGTGAGCGTGCCTACAGGGTGTAACACTGTGATGCCATGGAAAGTACAGCAAGAAGAACAGGGAGGCAAAGTCTTCAGCTGCAGCAAACGAGGACGAGCCCAGATGCAACAGCTGTGGATGCAGAAATGAAGGAAGAAAGTTTGCTTACCTCTGGAAGGCCTCAGGTAGGCAGGCTGCCCTGGGTTGACCCTGCCTTCCCACCAGGTGCTCAATCACTGTGTCAAGTTGTGACTTAGCATTTCCACTACACTGGGCTATGCTGTCACTGGCATCACTACGATGTGGTGGGATGGCTCTCATGATTGGAATGTAGAAATAGATGGGTATAAATTCTTTAGGAAAGACAGGGAAGAAAGAGGGGGTGTCAACCTCTACAGCAATGGCCAGCTGGATTCCACAGAGCTCCATCTGGGGATGGATGAGGAGCTGACACAGCTTATGGGCTAGGGTCAAAGTGAAGGCAAGGGAAGGAGACATCGTAGTGGGGTCTGCTACAGGCAGCCTGACCAGGAAGACTGAGTGAATGAGGCTCTCTATAAACAGACAGGAGTGGCTTTGCATTCACAAAACATGGTTCTCATGGGAGACTTCAGCCACCCTGATATCTGTTAGAAGGACAACACAGCAGAGCATCAGAAATCAGAGATTCCTGAAATGCTTGACAACGATTTCCTCTTCCAAGTGGTAAAGGAATCCACAAGAAAAGGTGCTACATTGAAATCTGCCCTCACCAGCAAGGAGGGGCTGGTGAGTAATGTGAAGCTTGAGGGCAGCCTTGGCTGCACAGTTCATGAAATGGTGGAGTTGAAGATCCCTAGGGCTTCAAAGAAGACGTGCAGCAAGGTTGCTGCTCTGGGCTTCCACTTCTTCCAGGTGGAACGGTGACATGGGATAAAGCCCTGGAGGGAAGAGGGGTCCAGGAAAGCTGATCAATATTCAAGGACCATGCCCTGCAAGTCCAGAACACTGCATCCCGAGGAAGATGGACAAGAACACCAGGAGGCCCCTGTGGATGAACAAGGGACTCCTGGACTTAATTGGGTGAAAAAAAAAAAGTCTGTAGGAAGTGGAAGCAAGAATGGGTTACCTGAGATGACTACAAAGAAGTTGTTTGAACAGCCTGAGATAGGTCAGGAAAGCTAAAACGCAGACAGAATGAAATCTAGCCAGGGACATAAAGGGGAAGAATAAGGATCTCTACAGGTATATCAACAATAAAAGGAAGGCTACAGAAGATGTGGGCCCTCTCTGGAAGGAAAACAGAGATCAGGTCACAAGGGGTACGGAGAAAGGTACTCAGTGACTTCTCTGCCTCAGTTTTCAACATCGGCCGCATCGCCCAAGTTGCAGAAAGCAAAGGTTAAGAACTGGGAGAAGGAACATCTGCCCACTGTAAGTGAAGATCAGGTACGAGATCATCTAAAGGACCTGAAGGTGCACTGTGCAGCTATGGGACCCAATGAGATCCATCCACGGTCCTGAGGGAACTGGCAGATGAAGCTGCCAAGCCACTTTCCATCATATTTGAAAGGTCATGGCAGTGTGGTGAAGCTCCCACTGTTTGGAGAAGGGGAAACACTATCCCCATTTTCAAGAAGGGAAATAAAGAAGATCCAAGCAACTACAGGCCAGTCAGCCTCATCTCTGTGCCTGGCAAAGACCTACTAAGGAAAATAAAGATGAGGTGATTGGTGGTAACCAATATGGCTTCATCAAGGACAAATCATGCCTGACAATCTTGGTGGCCTTTTATGATGGAGCTACAGCATCAGTGGATAAAGGAAGAGCAACTGATGTCACGTACCTGCACTTGTGCAAAGCATTTGACACCGTCCTGCATAACATCCTGGTCACCAAATTGGAGAAAAATAGATTTGATGGATGGACCACTCACTGGATAAGGAACTGGCTGGATGCTTGCACACAGGGAGTCGTGGTCAGTGGCTCAATGTCCAAGTGGAGACTAGTGACGAGTGGTGTTCCTCAAGGGTCTGTGCTGGGACCAGTGCTATTTAACATCTTCATAGGCAACATGGTCACTTGGATCAAGTGCACCCTCAGCAAGTTTGCAGACAACATCAAGCTGAGTGGTGCAGCTGACACACTAGAAGGAAGAGATGCCATCCAGAGGGACCTGGACAGTTGAGGGGTGGGCCTATGCCAGCCTCTTCAAGTTCTACAAAGACAAGGCAAGGTCCTGCACATGGCTCAGGGCAATCCCAAGCACAGGTACAGGGTGGGCAGAGAACAGCTTGAGTGCAGCCCCGAGGATAAGGACTTGGGGATGCCAGATGACAAAGAATCAACACAAGCTGGAAATGTACACTTGCAGCTAAAAAGGCCAATCGTACTGTGGGTTGAATGAAGAGGAGCATGACCAGCAGTCGGGAGAGGCGATTCTGCCCTTCTACTCTACTGTTATGAAAGCCCAGCTCCAGTGCCTCAGCACAAGGACATGAAGTTGTTGGAGTGGGTCCATAGGAGGGCTGCAAAGATAACCACAGAGCTGGAACAGCTCCCTTACAAGGACAGGCCAAGAGAGTTGGGGCTTTTCAGCCTGGAGAAGACAAGGCTCCAGGGGGGCATTATAATGGCCTTCCGGTACCTGACGGGGGCCTACAGGAAAGCTGGGGAGGGACTTCATACCCTTGTAAGGGCACGAAGTGAGCTTTAAACTGGAAGAGGGAAGATTCAGACAAGATATCAGGAAGATATTTTTTACTGTGAGGGCACTGAGGTACTGGAGTGAGTTGCCCAGCACGGTTGCAGAAGCCCCTCCTTGGAAGCATTCAGGGCCAGGTTGGATGAGGCTTTGAGCAACAAGGTAGAGTAGGAGGTGTTCCTGCCTATAGCAGGGGGGTTGGAAATAGATCTTAAAGGTTCCTTCCAACACAAACCATTTGGTGAGTCTATGATAAGTAAATGGATTAGCTTTCCTTTCACTTTTCCTGTAATCTTAGTAGAAAGGCAGTGGCACAACTAAGGCTTGAGCAAAAAAAAAGCACAGCTACTCATGCTTGACTACAGTTAAGTAAATGCAAAACATCTGAAAAATCCTCCCGGAACCAGCAGTTTCCCAAAAGAAGCTATTCACTGACATGACCCACTTTCACAGCAAGGCAAGATGTGTGTAGGTCACTCCAAAAGTTACATCACCTGTTTGTCTCCATAGAAACTACAACAGAGACAGAGTAAAAAATAACACTAGTTGGTAGAGCAAATTCTCAGCTACAGAACACTCAGGAACACTCAGCTACAGGAACTCAGGAACTACATATTTTCACCAGCCATACACAAGAGCCTGCAAGCCACACTTGGAAAAATCTTGGGGGGCTGTCTGGAACATGAATTATCTTTGTGAAATTCAACTCCTACATTTTTGTTGTAGCTGAGTTTCAACCTAACATCTTACAGTTATTTCATTGTACACCCAGTGAAATCTTGCTTCTTTTACATGTATAACTCAGGGAAAAAATAAAATAAAATAAAATAAAATAAAATAAAATAAAATAAAATAGAAATCGGTGAACTGTAAGAGGGTACAGTTCAGGGAAAACAATCTACTTTGTGTTTTCATATGGTGTGCCAGCTTCTTTTTCCACAACGAGGTTCAAATAAACACAAAGAAAGAGCAAAAGCCCACCTAAGTACAGACAATATTGGTGCTACTCTAAATGTAAAGTGCAGCATGAAATAGCACCATTTTAACATTCTGTAGTTTTTCTAGTAGAAACACCTGTGTAAGTGAACTTTTACTCCCTCTGTAGAAGTGCTGAGCATAAGGTGCTTCTGTCGCATTAAACACAAAAGGACTGCATCGAATCATGACTCAACCCCATCTCAGTATTTAACTGCAGGTGTGTGCCTTGCACGGAGCCAGGACTCGGGCTCAACGATCCCCGCGGGTCCTTTCCCAGCCGGGGATGTCCTGTGATTTTACGTGTTCCTACTGTGAAGCTCACTCACAGCAGTCCTACAGCCCAGCACTGCCTCTGTCTGAACGCTCACATCCACGAAACGACGCAATGGGAACGGGTCCGGGTTCGGAGCTCGCAGTGCTTTGCGGCACGTCAATCGCCACAAAGACCGGGGCGGGCGGAGGCTTCGGGAGACGCTCGCGAAAGCGCACCAAACGGCTTTCCCGCGAGCTCGCGTCCCCAGAAGCCAGATCGGGGCCCGCCTTACGGCGCGCAGAACGCTCGGCGCGCGCAGAACGCGTCTCCTCGTCTCCGCCTTACCTTCTCGGCGATGCTGTACAAAACCTCATCCATTTTCATGCATGTCGGATCCCAGTCGTGCCCGAAGCGGATGACCACCACTCGATCCTCCTCCGATAGGATGGCCTGGTCCACCTGCCAGCCGTTGTGGAGATGAGGCAGCATGTACGACATCCTGGCGGGCGGGCGGGCGCGCGGCGGCGGCCTGCGGGGCGACAAGGAGCGGCCGGCGGCTGAGACGAAAGCCCGGCCGGCCCGCGCGCTCCGGCCGCCGCCCCTCCCGCACCGGTACCCCGCAGCCCCCGGCTCGGGCCGCGTCACCCTCCACACCCAGGGGCCTCCGCCGCGTCCTTCTCGGCCTTCTCTAGGCGGGACCCGGCCGCGCGACACCGCCCGAGGCGCAGCGGAAATGACGCAAGTCGGAGCGACAGCAACTTCCGCTCTGCGGCCGCCACTGCGGGGTCGGGGGGCGCGGTTTCTTCCGAGGGGCGGGGAAAGGAGAGGGGGGGAATGGGCTGGGATGGAACAGAACAGAATGGGCTGGGCTGGGCTGGGCTGGGCTGGGCTGGGCTGGGCTGTTTGCACCGCAGCAGTCGCACGCGTTGGGGCTGGTGGGGCGCAGGCTGTAGTCGTGTAGGACGCGGCGGAGGAGCTGAAGGCAGCGCGGGTGGGCGGGTGGGTGGGGGGTTTCGGCGGCGCCCGTGGGAGTTTCTTGCCGGTTCGGGCCGGGCAGACGCTGCCGGTGCAGAGGCGAGGCGCCGACCGCTCGGTGTCCCCGAAGCCCCGTGCCCGGTTGGGCGAGCGTGTTGTACCGCCCGTGCTGCCGGCAGCCGGCGCGTCACGCACGCGTCATCCGCAGCGTGGGGCTGTGAGGCCGGCCGAGGGGAGGGGCTGGGCGGCAGCGGAAATCGGCGGGGCGGCTGAAAGGACGGTGGCTGAACACCCCGGGGTAAATATTCGGGATGCCATTTCCATAATTGAACCAGGATGCTTCCCTTGCCGGTGCTGGGTTTCACAATTGAATTGACTGCTGAGATGGGCCGTTCCGGGCTGTCACGGCTCTGACCCGCTTCGGCCCGGTTCCGTAACTGAATGGGACCCGTGGCCCAAGATAGGGGGGAGGGGGAGAGTGAAAAGGTGGGGAGATGGGCCTGAAAACAAAACAGCGACGAGCTAAGGGAGAAAACTAATTTACTAACTATGATAGCAGAAAGTGTGATAAGGCAGTGTAATGCCATTGGAATTGAAGCTGATAAATGAGCGCCCAGAACCAAAGGCATTACTTACTGTAATGCTGAAGGCCAGGTGGCTGGGCAGCACGCACCGCAGTGATGAGCAGCAGAAGGGCCGTCTCGTGACTCCCAAGCACTTCCATCTTTCCCTCTGAACGGAAAATGGGAATGGAATAGCAAAGTCTTCTGGGAGATGTAGTTCTCATCTGCGAAGGGCACCTGGAAACTCTCCACAATCCTTGGAACTGGAGCATTAACTCTTTAACTCCCAGTGCACTACAGGATGCTGTGATGTGGAACACTGATAACAAAATTCATAAAACTGTGACACAGGCTGATCTTTTTGCTTCCTCAAAGTCACACCAGTACATTGTATGTTCTTTCAAAATGTTAGCTTGCAGCAGACAGTGAAAAAAAAAAAAGCCTATTTTAAACAGAATCCACAAAAACCTGCACTACTGTTTTGGGCAATAATCCCAGGAAAGTCGGTGGAGTTTGTATCAAGTTCCTATGCCACAGGATTGTGTAATTAAAAACAAAAACAAAAACAATACTGTACAAAAACCCTTGTTCTGCAGTATTTTGTGGGATGTCCTCTAGAAGGCCTTCCTCAATTTTCAGGAAAGTGAGAGGAAGTAAGTTTTGCTTCAGATGGCCCTGCAGAAGCCATGAAGGAGTGATCCCCCACCCGTCTGCATGCCATGCTGTGTTTTGAGCCACTTGCAATGGTTTTCACTGAAAGCTTCCAGAGACTTTAGCAGTCCAGACAAAAACAGTCAGAGAGAGCAAGAGTTAAACAAGTGCTTGTAGCAGTGGATGGCTCAAATTTCTATGAGAGGAGGTTCTGGCACCAGCAGCTGAGTCACATGCCATTGGCCTTGACTCGGAGGTTGCAGCAGGTAGTAGGGACTGTGTTGCACACATGAGGAAATCACATGCTGCTGATTCCTCCAGGAGCGGTGAGCTCTGTTGGTAAAAGAAACATCAACAGTGAGGAACCGTTCCAGGCTAATTCTTTGGTTATTATTCAGGTAATCAGTTTTCTGCTGTAGATAAGTAAGTGGGAGGGGTTTATTCTGGGTGATGTACATTATTAACTTCAATTTAAAACAAAAGTAGGGAAAAACGTGGAGGTTTATTTTGCTATGATGTGGCTGAGTCCAAAGTGATACAGCAGTGCCAGTCAGTGGCTATGAAAGTAAGTAAGTAGTGAGTCAAGCTCCACAAAAGAAAGAAGGCTAGTTTAGGAAAGCACCAGCACTGAAGTTAATAGCTATGAGCTGGTCTGTTTATTCGCCTATTTGTCTCAATGTGGGTCACATATTCAAAATTTTCAGTGGAAGGACTCGATATCAGTATACATGCAGTCTGTTAATGTGGCACAAGTGGTTGTGGATGTACACACAGATCGTTTTATGCGGAGAGAAAATGTGGAGAGAGAAAATCAAAGTTGTCATATCCTTAACAGGTGATACATTTAGCATATCAGACAGGACATCCAACATCTGAACAATTATGCTCAGGAGTAAGCATTGGATTTGTTAAAATCTATTCATTTGATGGTTGACCAGACAAATTTGGCTTGCAAAGGTATTCATCCAGCTGTCCCTTCTTACGGACTTTGGTATGACAGGAAAAGCGTGGCTTTTAGACAGAGGTACAAGACAAGCACAGACAGTGGTCCATGAGAGCACTGTGCGCTCCTCAAACCAAGGTTAGTATCTGGAAAGCCTCCTTCCCTTTGCAGGGTTCCTTTAACTGTATTTATGCTGTTGCTAGCAATATAATTTTTTAAGATCGTACTTTGTACTTGCAGAAGCCTTGCTCTTGAAGCAACACTGCAAACAGTTCCTGTGCACATCGAATGTGGATGAAATTGTAAACTTTTTCTGCCCACAGTAATGAGCAGAGTAATTACTTAGCCTTTTTTTTTTTTTTTTTTTTTTTTTTTGTGGACAAACTGAACTGTTTAAAGCTAAATCAACTCTTGCTGTGCTGCTCTGTGGCTTCCCCATGAACTGTCTTTCTGTTTGTGAAGTTTAGAAGGTGCTTCTAAAATAAATGTGGGTCTGACTGAGCGTCGCAATGATGGTGATGCTGTCACCACGGTGAAGAAGGCAAATGGTGTAATATAGTCCTGTCTTACTTGTTTGTCTTAAGTCACTTGATCGTATCCATTGTCCAGGCAGTTTTCTGTCGTGTAACTGCAGGTTTAGTTGCAGTTCCGTCACAGTTGCTGAAGTACCACCAAGTTCTGGTGATGCTGAATAACACTGTCACAAAGACGTTGTCTTGCCTTTCCATCTGCGTATTCTTTCCAGGAATCTAATTTTTCCTTCTAGGGTCATGTTGTGTGATACTCCAAGAAATAAACAGACTACAAATGGCAGTATTTTCCCTACCACCTGGGGCCGGTAGATTTCAAAAGACTTCAGCTTATGGCAGTAAATAATGACATAAATATCCATGACAGTTGTTGAGACTGTAATCATTTAATAGATGCAGCTGGATTGAGTTTGAGTTTGCTCAGGAGAAGGGTAATCACAGCCTTTCAGAAACTTACAGTAAGTTGTTTGTCCCAGAGCTGAATTCTGAAGGCTTGCATGAGAGGACAGGAACAGCAGGAAAGTTCTGCCTGCACAGCATGCCTGGAATTAATCAGAATACTGCTGTGATGGAAGAGAGGTGCAGATTCATTCAGCACAACCCAAATCTAGGGTACAATATTTGGGACAAAGACCCAGATGTGTGAGTGGAGTGCAAGAAACAGAATCATAGGAAATCAGACCGGAATATTCGTAAGATAAGTAGCAAGTCTTGTACTGCAATTTTGGCAATGAGGGCCATGATTGCCAGCAAGGGCTGCAGTTTCACCCCTCAAGTTACATAAGTGGCTATGTGAGCAGCCTTTGTCTTATTGCAGAATATGATAGATTTGAGTGGGCTGTTGCAGGCAGGAGCAGGCTCAAAACAGCCTGGGGAACACTCTGGTGTGAAGGGCTGTGTTGCTGGAGGGCCTTAGCCTGTCACCTTTAGCACGCCTCCCCACTGGTTCAGCCTGAAGGCATGGATTGCAAAAGACTGACCTGTAATGCTAAACTTCAGAGGCTATATGTTCGGATGCAGCAGTTTAAAACAGTGAGAGCAAGCAGTGTAGTAGCCGTACAAGAATGGTCCTTCGTTGGGCAGGTTTTTTTAGACCTCACCCATTCCAGGTCAGGTAGGTTTGTCAGACCTGTCTGGACCTCTGGCTCCCAACACCGCCTGCAGCTTCACCAAACATCACTCACAGGCAAGCAAGTTGGAGTAACTTCCTAGCAGCAGTTATGTAGCACCCTTTGTGATACATCAGTTTGTGAGTTAGGTTAAGAAGCTGCCAGATTAGTATGAAAGCGGTAGGGTTTCTGGACTGAAATGAAGCTATCTGAGAGCACCTTGTAGGTCCTGAACTGGATTTAGATCCAAGAAGGTGACTGTACCTCAGTGTTACAGCGTAATCTGGTGCTTAATGGAGATATCGGAGCATTTACTAATGTAAGGCCACGCTAGTCCCAGGTGACTGTGAATTTGTGCTGTATCATTAAAAGGACTGTGGAGTGCCATTGATTTCCCAATTCACAGGTGTGAATTTAAATGGTGGCCACACCATCACTGCTTGAGTGACGTTCTCCTAAACAGCAGCGTGCTTCTTCTGTTCCTCCACTGCAGGTCATGGCAGAACAGGAGTTGCCAGGTCTTTTGATTATGGATGTTGGAGGAACTCATGGTGTGCAAGAAAGCCTTGTGGCGCTTCTGAAGAAACACTTCTGCGTTATCACCATGAAAGAACTTCTTGAAAACAAAAAAGAAATGGGGAAAAAAATCCAATCCATTTTTGTGTCGGAGTCCAGGCCAACTATCGACCGGGAGCTTCTAGAAAGCCTGCCTAATTTAAAGGTCATTGGAAACTCTGGTGTTGGAGTGGATCACTTAAACTTGAAAATGATTTCTAACTTTGGTGTAAAAGTGACTAATACCCCACACGCTGTTGCTGACTCAACAGCAGACATGGGAATGGCCCTAATGCTGGCGTCTGCAAGAAGACTTGTGGAAGGTAATGTTTTACATCTCATTCGATCTTACTGCTTCTTTGGCATATCTCACCTTGCTGTATTAGAGAGGGTCTGTCAGAATCAGTAGTTGGGATACTTTTGCAAGAAGAAAGTGCTCTGAGAAACTCTTTGTCTCAGTCCCACCTCTTCTCAAGGCAACAGTGACAAGAGTAAGACATTTGTCTCAATGATGTGCTTTGAAGTCACCATGACACCTGCTTAGAACAATGTGTGGGGCGTGGTTCTATCTGGGTGCTCACTTAGCTTGTGGCTGGAAAACTGAATGTGAAATGCATCCAAATACAATGTCACTGCTTTTCTGTTTCCTTCCTCTGTATTTTCTAATAGTTGTCCAAAGGTACACAGCATCTAGAGATGGCCACGTCCCCATTGCTGGAGCAGAAATTATGAGAGCATGTTGAGTGCTGCTCCAAAAGTAATGCCTCCTAATTTATTACACTGGCCCACTGTGCTGGAGGCAGATGTTGGTTGTACAGCAGTACAGGTTAGACTTTCTTTTATTAAGTTGAAGTCCAACATTATAAAGGTTTAATGGGATTGCTGGCCAAGCTAGACTCTGCAGTATAACTTCACCCCCTTCAAGTGGTATGACTGGATTGGTTGAGATAGGAGATAGACGGGGAGTTTTACTGCTGACACAGAAAAAATAAAGTGAAGGCAGTGCTTGTGGTGGGTAAATGCCCCAGAAGCTGTTTTTGAATTTCAAAGAAAATGCTGCAGACACAGAAGCATTATTTCCCTAAGGTAGTAATCCCTCTCAGCAGAATACCACCGTCAAGAATCTCTTCTGTGTCACTGCTTCCAGTCCTGACTGTTACACTGTCCAGGACTTTCTAAAAAGCAGCCACCCCCACCGCCTTAAAATTATTTAGGATGTTCTGTAATGGGCATTCCAGAAACCAACTACGACAGTGAGAAACTTTTCCTCTCTGTTTCGACCAGAAATTGTCATCAGTTCATACCTGTTTAGCATGTTTTTCCATTCAGGCTTCCAGATAGCAGTTTCTCCAGACACGAACTATTTTGCTGCTGACTGGCTGGGAGTTGAAGTTACCAGGGCGACTCTTGGGATCATTGGGATGGGCAGAATCGGGTATAAAGTGGCTCAGAGAGCCAGAGCCTTTGAAATGAAGATCCTGTACCACAACAGGAACCGCAGGTAAAAACGTGTGTTTACTGTGTGGAACCAGTCCAGGGGCAGAAATGGAAACCACAGCTCTGGCCTGGGTCCCCATTCTTCCTAGGTGCTGGCAACAGTTTTAAGCAACACAAGGATCACCGCCACTGCTCTCCTTGGTTCCCAGCTTCTTCCCTTGGGAAGCAGCTCCCATTCACCTCCCCATCTTCATTCCTCCCTTCTCAGCTATTGGCAGGTTTAGAGGAAGGGTGACGCTAACTTTTCTGAAGATGTAAGCCAAGCAAGCCAGACTTTGTCCTGCCAGTCTTCTCTCAGGCTTCCGGCAAGGTCCCTAGTCATCCAGGCTGTCACTCCTTCCTTCAGCCCAGCCAGTTCACTCATCACCTTGATGGCAAAGATCCTCACTTGGTTTTATCTTTCCCTTTCTTTGCTTCCCCTTCCTTCCTTTTCCATTCTAAGTTCTAACTGACAAGTCAGGCAGAGAGAGGTGGTGGTGCTGTACAGATACATCAGCAGGAGAGAATAATGAGAGACCTTCTGCATACCCATCCTCCTATACCTAACACCACTTGTGTGGTTTGCTTTCACGTTTATGTCAATCCTCCAGGGTCCTGCCACTCCTCTGCTCTCTTGGCCTCTCTAAACCACTACCTTCTCTCCTCTCTTCTGCCATTTTGACTCACATAGAGGGTAGTGACACACTGGAACGGGTTGTGGATGCCCCATCCCTGGAGGCATTCAAGATCAGGCTGGATGTGGCTCTGGGCGACCTGCCTGGGGGTTGGACAGAGACTCTTGGGACTCAGGGTGGTTGAAACTGGATGATCATTGTGGTCATTTTCAACCCAGGCCTTTCTATGATTCTATAATTCCCCGGTTACATAGCAATGTCTCTTCCTTTATCCTGGCTTCAAACCTCTTAATATCTATGCTGATTGAGACGATGCTTAGGATCAACTGACTGATTTGTTGACTGTTAAAAACAGTTCAGAAGAGTCATGTCAAACTAGGTGTGCATTTTCCATTCAGGAGCAAGGAGGAAGAGCAGGCTGTTGGTGCTTGCTACAGTCAGATGGAAGATTTGCTGCAGCAATCTGACTTTGTTATGCTGGTTGTGAACCTGACACCTGAGACTGAAAAACTGATTGGGAAAAAGGAGCTGGGACTGATGAAACCCACAGCCACTCTTATAAACATCAGCCGAGGTAGGCATTTCTCCCAGAAGTGGTTCTGGCTCCGTGGTGAAGGCTAATAAAGTCTCTCTTTCTTTTGTTTGATTGATGGTTACTAGAAAGACATTCTACTTTTTAACAAGACGTAGATCCTTCAATTTATTTCCCCCAGGGCCCTGACACATTTCCCCACTCCCAGTGAAAATGTGTTCACTGCCTTGTTTTGGAAGAAAGATACCATTTCAATGCAGGTGCAGTTATTGATCAAGACGCACTGGTGGAAGCTCTCCAGAATAAGACTATTAAGGCTGCTGCTCTGGATGTGACATACCCTGAGCCTCTGCCAAGGTAGAATAACTTGCATTCATTCTATTACTCGTGAACTTGTAAAATGCTGAGCAAACGTGTACTCATGACCTTGATCTCTGCGGGGAGTTGTTTAAGGGCATATCCACATTTTATCTTGTGCAATCCTAAGCTGATGACCAACTATTCTGCCTTCCACATTGTCGAGACAACATGAGTGCCAAGCAAGGCACCGAGGCCAGTAGAGAGGATGGAGAAATGGGTAAGCAAATTTACCAACGTTTTCTGCCAATCCTGTGTACGTGGCCCCTTCGTATCAATGCCTTTGCTGTTTCCTGAGCTTCTGACCTCAGCAACTAGCAGAAGAATTAACGGAACGTGTGATATCCATGCTGTTCTTTCTGCTTCTTGCGGGTGTAATACGCTGTCCTTGCTGTTTCTTGCAGAAATCATCCTTTGTTGAAATTAAATAACGTCATCATAACCCCACATATTGGAACTGCAACAGTTCAAGCCACCCACATGATGACAGAAGAAGCAATAGCAAACATGCTGTCCGTTCTCAACTGTCAACCCGTTCCAAGTGAAGTGTTTCCCCAATGATGCGCACCAAACAGCAGCGCATCAGCTCCGTTTCATACAGAACCACTATTAGTTTTGAGCAGGAAAAAAAAGCAGCCGTGTTCCTGCACAGCTCTTTTGGTCAATCTGCTGCAAAGCTGTCAACTCGCTCAGCTTACTCTGTACTGGCATTTACAAATTCAAAACAGCGAAGTGGAACAGATAAAACGGTTCCGTTTGAACACTTTGATGCCTTCATCATTCGCTCAATTATTTGGAAGGGTTCCATTAATGAGCGCTGGACCCTTTTCAAGCACCATCTCTTTTTGAAGAGCAGGGCAACTGGCAAATGCCATATGACAGAAGTCACGGAAGCGGGGCACGGGATGGGTTTGGCTTGATCTTGTAGAGCCGGGGTGGAAAATCAGTGTCTAGCAAATGGAAGTAAGGTCAGGTGACAGCAGTGAACTACAGACACGCTGTTCACCTCTGTAGGAGAAATATTCACGTGGGCAAAGCTCACCTGGAGTTGAAGGGGGCCCGTACTGTGGGAGACAGGTATCAAAAAGTGCGTTTTAAAATACGTCCGATTTTTGTCTGAGTTACTGGAAAACACACGCAAGACGGGAAACAGCAGCCCAAAGAGGATTGACAGGATGCTGTCTCAGAACTGACTTAGAGCTGTTGAGCCGTTAAGCCTGGGCTCAGAAAGCCCCACTGGCTGAGCACGTCACCTTTTGAGCACAGGCATTCCTGGCTTCAGCCGTGGATCTGCCAGCAATGGCAAGGGGCAGGATGTGGAAGGGGCCGCCCTCAAGCCAGCCAAAGCAGCCGGGGGCAAAGCTGTCAGCGTGCAGATTGCACAGCCACACTGGTGACACTAGAGAAGGCTCCCAGCTCCCAGCTCCCACTCCGAGATGGAGCTCGGAGGGAGGAGGACCGGGCTTTCCTCCTCATCTCCTCACGCAAGGTTTCTGCCTTGGATTTCAGCACCCTCGCAGCACACTGTGGTGCCCGTGCAGCTCCGGGTAGCCCTGCCGATGCAGGCCCGGGAACCCTGGGGAGGGGAGCACCTGGCTTTACAAGGCCCCTCTGTAAAGCGCGCGTTTCACGGCGACCAAGGAAAGAGCCACGGTGTTTGGGGATGGGGTTGGGGTTTATTGGGTATAGGGAAAGGGTAATATGGAAAGCGGCGACGCCTTTAACAGTGTCACCGTGAGCGTCGCCGACAGTGAAAGGTGGTCCTCGTTGAGCTGTTGGGTGACACTTAGTGGATGTCTGGCTCCAGAATCTCACTGCTGCTGGATCTCTCGTGGTCCTGGTCGACGTGCCTGACCACGACTCTCCGGACCTGAGGAGTTCAGTGTAAAGCTCAGTAGTTTTGTGAGCGCAGAGACACGCAGCGCAACGCTGCAAGTCTCTCTGCAGTACGAGAGAGTGGTTCTGCTCATGCAGGTCTAGAGAGAGCAGGCTCCTGGTCCCTGTGATGTAACTGCAGCCCTTGTGGCCAGTCCCGATCTGGGGTAGCCTGCTGTGGGGCTGACTGACCAGGCACTGAGTCAGGCGGTGGCTGAGACCTCGGCCCGGGCAGATACAGGCTGTGAGAGCGAGGTGCTCGGGGCTCTGTGTTCTGGGAGGAGAGGGAGGGACGCCGGTTGGAGAACGGAGGGCCGCCAGACCCTGGCCGACACCTCAGAGCCTTCCGCCTGCAGCTGCCTGAGCTGCGCTGGGAACCTTCGTCCCCAGCGCCCGCTGGCTGGGTGTCTGTGCGGAGGTCTCCAGCTCCACCGCCAGCCGCTCTCCATCCCACAGGCCCAAGAGGGTCTTCCCTTGGCTTGCTACGGCTAGCTGTGACACGCTGCTTACGGGAGCCCACTTACCACTCTGCGTGACGCCTTCTCTGGCTTTGGTCCAGCAGGGGGTGCAGGTCTGTGCTCCGCTCCTGGCAGATGGAGGAGGCCAGGTGCGTGTGTGGATGGCCGACTCCACCACAGCACTGCAAGCTCACTGTAGGCACAGAGCGGGAGGGGGTGTGAGCACAGGGAGACCGGCCTCTGGCTGGGGCTCCCAAGCTTGGTGCCTGCCACCACTGCTGCAGGTGGCCGTGCCGAGAGCCCGCGTCCAGGAAAGGCCCCTCTTTTGCCCTGGTGCTGCAGGGGGTGGGAGAAGGGCAGTGTGGGAGAGCAAGCTGCCTGTCTGGAGAGCTTTACCTCTGGAGCCGGTCCTGCAGATCCTTCTCTGCGTCTCTCCGGCCCTGCTGCTCACGGGACACCTGCCCCACAATGAGCTTCACCACCTCCCGCAGGGCCTCATCTGTCCTCGAAGAAAGCTTCCTGCAACAGCGAGCACAAAATCCGTCTCACTCTTCAGCCGTGACGCCCCTGCCTCTTTCTTCACCCAGTCTGTTCCACGCGTGGCCCCACTTGGCCCCACAGCCACTCTGACGCAGGACGACTTCCACGCGTGGGCTGCCTTGGGCTCCACAGAGGCTCGTGGCATCGGGCCCTAACCACGACCGTATCCACGGCCTCAGAGCTCTCCGGGCGCTGCGTGCGGCACCACGACTCAAAAGCTGGCTTCCCTGATCCACAGCACAGGTGACTCACCACCCCCCTGCCCCTGGCCTCGGGTGCAGTTGGTGCACGCTTACCGTTTAGGCAAAGCAGCGCTGTCCCAGAAGACTGCGCGCGGCTCTTCCTCGGCCTCTTCCTGCTTCCCCATCATCCTCTCTCTCAGGCTGGGGGAGGAGCTGGAACTCTCTGTCTCGCTCCCAGACAGAGAGATTGAGTATTCTTCCTCGGTGACAGAGGTTTCCTGCATAGGAAAAGACACTCGGCGCTGTGGTGCTGCTTCCCAGCATGCAGCTCCCCGCAAGACCACTCCAGTGGGGACTGCAGTGGGGCAGGAAAAGAATCAGGAGAGGGACCTCAGCACGCTCTTGAGGCCATGTCTCAGCGTGACCAGGGCTTTGTTACAGCGCCCTGTTGGGTCCTCTTGCTCACAAAAGGCAGCAGTCCCCCACCCAGCGCTGCTGCACCACCACTACTGCTCTGGCCCGGGCGCCAGAGGCACCATGCAGTCTCAGCTCCCCTGGATGGGAAAGTGCTGCTGCTTTCTTGCAGGGATGCAAAGTACCTGGGCCGCTGGCAGCTTCACTTCTTCCGGCTCAGCTTCCGTGTCCTTCTCTTGCGACTTTTGCTGCTCGCCTTTTTCTGCTTTCTTCCCTTGCAACTTTTGCTGCTGCTTTTTCTGCGTCACTTTTGGAAATTTCTTCTCCTGCACCTCCTTCTCCGGCTTCACCTCCTTCTCCGGCTTTACCGGCTTCACCTCCTTCACTGGTTTGACCGGCTTCACCGGCTTCACCGGCTTCACTGGTTTCACCGGCTTCACCGGCTTCACCTCCTTCACCGGCTTCACCTCCTTCACCTCCTTCACCTTTTTTGCCTCCCTCTCCTTCCTCACGTTCTTCCCCTTCTCCTCCTCCTTCCTCACATTCTGCCTCTTCACCACCTTTCCTTTCTTGGTCTCTAGAGCCTTTGCTTCGAGGTCGGCCTAAATGCAACAACAGGCAACGTTAGTCTCTGTGGAGGCTGAGGGCTTTCCCCTCCTGACTCCATTTCACCCTCTACCTCCCGCCTTTCTGGTCTGCTGCCAGGCTCCTGCGGACTCGACTGAAGAGCCCTTCTGCAACAGCCAGGAAAATAAACAACCACTAAAGGGCTAAAGGCAGCTGGCAGTTCTAGACAAGCAGTCAGGAACACCCCCAGATCAGCTCCTGGGGTGGCTTGCGGGAGGCTAACGGCAGTGAACAGCTTATTCCCAATCGCCCTCGCTGCTGATCTCTCTTCAAGCGAGGTGTCGCGTGAACGCGCAGCAAAGAGCGCTGTGAGAGTCAGTGATGCTCTTCTACAGTTCACTGAGACAAATGTGCTGCAGCACTCTGTGCCACGTACCATTCTCTTCTTCTCCCTCGCTATGGCAAAGAAGTCCACCATCCGGGGACCAGGCAGAGGAACTACTTTCTCTTGCTCTTCCTTTTCTGGCAAGGATCTCCTCGGGATGGCCGGTAGCTGCCTGTAAAGACACGGTGGGGAGAGTTGACAGGAGGGCAGGAGGTGCTGGGTCTGCGTTGCGTGCTTGAACGTGTTTCAGCAGCCTCCTCAGCAAAAAAAGTCTGCAAGAGCCCCCAAATGACTGAGCTGGTCTCTACCACCTCCCTTGGAGACCTGGGAACAGCCTGCGGCGCTGACAGCAGCCCGCAAACACGCTCACTCTGCTCAAACGCTCCTAGGAAAGGAACACCCTCATCCCTTCCCGGGACGTTTCCTGTCCCTTTGGGCACCGGGCTCGGCAAACAGAAAGGCCCGGTTCGCTTCCACCTGAAGGGAAGCAAGAAAGTCTCTGCGCTCTCGCGAGGAGCACTTGCCATGAGTTACCCAGCTCAGAAGGGATGCTACGGGGCGTCTGTCATGCAGAGCTGC